TTGCATTATGGCTGTTTTCTGGTTGAAAGGAGCAAGACTTGGAAGTATTGGAAGCTTCAGACATTTCTGGGCCTGATGAGCTGAGCGGATGGAAGGTGGTCCTGAGTGGGTGGGCTGGTCGGACCAAAGCATCGTGCTGGGTGTCTGCTGAGAGTCTCCACAGTTGTGTCTGTGGTGGAGACCCCTCTGTAGAGGATAAGCAGGGCAGGTGGACATGAGACTCTGGCGTTGCCTCCCCATGAGAAACTGGACACAGTTTCTGGTCAACGGCGAGGTCTCCAAGATGCCTGCCATCTGCCCAAAATGGCCAGAAACGGGGGAAATAGAATCCCTGGGTTTTTAAAATCCAGAGTAAGGGAAACTCCACCCGGGAAACACAACCCCAAGTAAAGTGTGTGGAAGCAGGATGTTTTAATTGCAAACCTTTCTTGAGAACCAGCTGCGGGGTAATGTTATCTTGGCCGCTCCTGCAGCCAGAGGAGAATTTATCTGGGCCCCTGACGCAGGCCCCGGAAACAGAGCTGGCTTTCTCAGATGACCTCTGCCCCGTCCCCCTTCCCCTCCACCTGCTCTTTCTCGGGGGGTTATCACTAGCATTTCCAATGCTGGCAGGACCAGCTCCGAGAGGCTTGAGAATCTAATGTGGGTGGGGGTTTGTGTGGGTTGGGCTGGAATTTTGCATATCCATTGCTCATCTGGAACGCTAATCTAGGATATTCAAGGTTTGGAGGAAAGCAGACAAGCACTTGAAAGAGGCTGCCCAGATGAAAGAAAGGGGTCTGGAGACTGTCCTCGGACCTCTGGGCTTCAGTTTCCAGGGAGGTCTCTGATCATTTCCTCAACTCAGGATTTAGACGGTTTGTCCAGGAGGGAGGCTGGGGGGCCTCTGGTAAATCCTAAAGGTTTGGGAGAACCTGGCGTGAGGATTCATTTCCACACTGCCGCACCAGAGTCACTTCATGCTCACTTCATGTGCAAGCCTTTGCCCAAAAAGGAAAGAAATGAGTCTTGAGGGGAAGCATGCCGTGTTGCAGCCTGGTGGCTGTGGCCCGCAAGGGTCACTGGGCAACTTCTGCCACCCTACCCTCTGGCTTTTCTCCAGAGGTTGTCTTCAGTGTGGGTTCAGGTCAAGGGTTAGACAGAGATGGTTCTCTGTGAAGGGAAAGGACTTTTGCAGGGGGCGGGGTGGGGGGGTGCTCTGGTGTGTGCTGGTTAGCCCTAGCCTGGAATTGGGAGGTCTGGGCTCCTGTCTCAGCTCTGGCTCTAATGGGGTGAGCACACCTGCCATGGCAACCAGCATAGGGGGCAGGCCCGCCAGCCCCCAATCTTGTGCCTATTGAATAGAGGAGGAGCCTGAGGGTCTGAGAGGCTGGACTGAAGTCTCACAGCCAATAGGGACGATCCTGAGAGTGAAACCCAGGTGTGACTGACTCCACAGTGTGTGCCTCTTCCTTGGCAAATCACCATCCTGGGTCTGAGTTTCCTCTGCAGATGGAGAGACCTCCCAGCCGCCGGAGGCTGGGAGCCTATAATTAATTCTCCCTGGGAGGTGAAGGGAAGCCCCTAATTACTGAAGAGGATGGAGCATGGGTCATGTTAAGCCCCAGTTAAGCCCTTCCTCCGGGCCCCGCTTGGTTGGCCAGGGAGAAAGGCTGCTGTCTAATGGCCTGCATGCTGTCTCCTGGGAGGGCACTGCCGCTTGGGGCTTCCTTATAGTGTGTCTGCCCAGGCAGAGGTCAGGAAGGCAGCACCTGGCCATGTACAGCATCTGCTACCTGCCCGGGACCTGTGGGAAGGGGAGGTGCAGGTGGGAGGGGAGATGTAGCCGGCAGGATTTGGGGGCCCAGGACCCAGGAGTCAGCAGGGGGGATGGGATGGGTTATAACCCCGGTGAAAACCCCAGAGCATCCGGGCACGGTCAGTGAAGCCAGTTGTGTGTGAGGGTTTCCTCTGCATTTCTCTGGTTTTGTAGCATTCCTGACCACTGACTTCTGTCTGGGCCCTGAGTTCTGCCTCTTCTTGCTCTCAGAATTGACATGACGCCCCCATGTTCCTCTAGGTCCATCCCCTATGCAAGGGGCACACAGACTTTTCAGGCCACCCAGAGATTTATTAAGAAAGGTGTCTTTCAGCCCTGATTAAGTAGTTCAATTTAAATATCCATACTCTTAAATTTACATATAGGAAGGTAGTCCAGTGTGGTTCAGAACATGGTGATTGGACTCGGCTGGACCTGGGTTCAAGTCCTTTGCTCTGTATTTTACTAGCTGTGTGACCTCAGGCACATTATTTAGCTTCTCTGAACCTCGGCTTCCTCCTGTACAGAATGGAGATAGCAGTGTCATAGATTGAATGAGCTAATGCATACGAGTGCTTTACGCTGTGCTGGCCTGAAGTGGCCGTTACCTGAATGGTTCCTCCTGTTAATTGTATGAGGTATTTGTTTATATATGATCTAAAGCAAAGCACACCCCTATCTATTATAATCATAGTCAATGGTTTATTTTGGGTTTGTGAAGATAGGGATGGCCTTTCCCTTTATGTTCTTTCTTATCAGGGTCACATAAAACATGTCATCAATACCCCATGTCAGGGTGGCAACCTTTGCTGTCTGCTTTGCTTTATGGCCCTCTCCTCAGTTTCCGGTCACAGAGAACACTGCCTTGAGCCAGGCGACCTCTCTGAGGGGGCTCGGGGGGTGGGGGGTGGAGAAGGGACGGAGGATTCAGAGCTCGTTTGCGTAGAGGTTAATTGAGTAGCCAAACATGAAGCCCCATATCCCTGGGTGCAGAGCCCTTGCTGTGGACTGAACTTTTGTGTTCCCCCAAATTCATATGTTGGAGCCCTAATCCTTGAGGCGGGGCCTTTGGGAGGTGATTAGGTTTAGATGAGGCCATGAGTGGTGGGATGAGTGCCCTTAGAAGACGAGGAAGAGACTAGAGCCCCCTCTCTCCACCACATAAGGATACAGCAACAGGGCGACCATCTGCAAGTCAGGAAGTGGGTCTCACTGGAAACCTTGATCTTGGACTTCCAGCCTCCAGAACTGTGAGAAATAAATGTCTGCTGTTAAAGCCACCGAGTCAATGGTATTTTGTCATAGCAGCTCAAACAGACTAAGACAGCCCTGCTCCAGGCATCCGATGAGTTCAGCTATCCTGAGGCCAAGGGATCTCAATGTTCCTCCTCTTTGCTCACATTCCTTCCTTCTCACAGTGGCTGAGACCCCTGGCTTCGCTGGCCATTTTCTTCTCACAGGTGCAGTCCCCCAAGACCTACTGAATCTGAATCACTAGGCAAGTGCCTGGAATCTGAGCGTTTATGAAGCCGGCCAGGAGATTCTGATGGGCACCCTGGCAAAGGGAACCACAGCTGTGGGCACAGCCACTCGGTCTCTTGGGAGGGAGGAAGCAAGGCAGGGGTCTCACTGTGTCTCAGTGCTGTCCCTTAACCCCAGAGAGGTCACAGCAGGCACCAGAGGGGAAGTTCAGCAGAATAGCCCTGAGGGGGTTGAGGGGACCCCTCCCTCTCACTGAGCCCTCCCCCAGGAGGGTGTGCCTTTGGTGTTTGTTCAGGTGAAAGGGACAGCAATGGTGGTGACAGTAGGCCAGATTGTGTGGCAAGGGACCTTCTCCTTCTCCAGCCAGCAGGCCTGCCCACCTCCCGGGCCAGGGAGCCTTCCAGATTGGCTTGAGGCAGCAGCCTTGGAGAGCCTGAGCCTCGGGAAGTGGGGTGACATTGGGAATGGGGTCCTGGAAATGCCTTCATTTCAGACAAGTTTACAAATCTTACATGTGCTCACTTCTGTCCTGCAAATCTGCCTCTCATCCAGAGGGTCCGTTTGATTGTTCATTGCAGCAAAACGCTTTCTGAATTCCCACTCCACTCTGTGCCCGGCCCTGAGCTAAGACGTAGCGATACTGGGATGAATTGCACATCTCTGAAATGCTTATGGTCACCTGAAGTGCTTTTCGGAGTGGGTTCTGAGGATCAACTACAGCAGAAGTGGTTTGTTAAAAAGGATAGATGCCCAATTTTAACAGGTGGTGGGAGAGGGCAGGGGGTGTATGGGAACTCTCTGTACTTTCTGCTCAATTTTGCTGTGAACCTAAAACTGCTGTATAAAAATAAAGCCTTTAAGGGGCGCCTGGGTGGCCCAGTCAGTTAAGCATCTGCCTTCAGCTCAGGTCATGATCTCGGGGTCCTGGGATTGGGCCCTGCGTTGGGCTCCCTGCTCAGTGAGGAGTCTGCTTGTACCTCTGCCCCTCTCCCCTGCTCATGCTCTCTCTCTCTCTCAAATAAATAAAATCTTTTAAAAAAAATAAAGCCTTTAAAAAACAAAATAAAATAAAATGTAGGGGCACCTGGGTGGCTCAGTCATTAAGCGTCTGCCTTTGGCTCAGGGCATGATCACAGGGTCCAGGGATCGAGCCCCACATCAGGCTCCCTGCTCGGCGGAAAGCCTGCTTCTCCCTCTCCCCCTCCCCCTGCTTGTGTTCCCTCTCTCTCTGTGTCTCTCTCTGTCAAATAAATAAATAAAATCTTTTTTAAAAAAATAAATAAATAAAATGTAGATGCTTGAGCCCTGAAACCCCAGATCTACTTCTGCAGAATTTCGGAGAGTGGGGCCCCAGCATCTGCAACTTGGGAAGACCTCCTGTAGAATCTCATTCACTGTAAAGTTTGAGAGCCAGTGGAAATTTTTGACAACCCCAATGTATGTTCGTTGTATAAAATACATATAAATGAAAACCACTTGTAATCCTAATCTAAGATAATCATCCTTAGCAATTTCTTGAATATCCTTCTAGATGTGTGTGTGTATTTAAATAAATGTGTGTAGCATCTGGGTGGTACCTGACACACTGTGCTGGGTCCTGGGGACAGAGGTAGGAATGGTTCTGGCCACAGGGCACCCCCAGTCATGGTAAATGGTGTCTGGTACAGCTTGAAGCTCGACCTTCGTCACCCACTCATTTGCTCTCACTTTTTCTCCACAGGTGTACATCATCAATGTGACCTGGTCCGACTCCACATCCCAGACCATCTACCGGAGGTACAGCAAGTTCTTTGACCTGCAGGTAAGTTGGTCTGAGTTCAGATGGTACCCAGTTTCACCTGCAGTGGCCCGAGTCTCTGGTGGGCTGGCCGCTCTCGTGTCCTCATTCATCTGGAGAACCCTTGTCAGAGCACTTGGGGTCTGCATCTCGGTCAGAGCAGAGGGACAGATGAGGAAACCTCGCCTGGCTAGCTGGGTCTTGAATATCGCATGCAGACATCGGGCTTTGTTGGCTTCCTCTGATGGTCTTAACAGTCCGAGCTTTGTCACCGTCCTTTGCCTGGGGGGTAGGAAACCAGGGTGGAGAGGCAGGAGGATGGCCGTGGGTGCTGTGTGCATGAGCAGACATGTATCTGTAAACATCCAGGGTGAGACACAAGCCACTACGTCATTGCAGACAAAGAAAAGCAAACACACCGGGGAGACAGAAACAGAAAATAAGCAGTTTCTTGAACTACAGACACAAACGGGGCATACCACTGTGTCTGTCTCGCTGAATAAGGCTCTCACTGCCCTGTTTGTACGCGCGCATGGTGTGTGTGACTCTCTAATATACACAGGCATGTTCACACAGCTCCTCCTGCAGACACCTCCCTTGACTCCAGCTAACTCGGTTAGACCTTTCTGGGTTACAAGGGATGGTTTTACACTCCTACTGGCTCAGACAAATAGGAGACTTGGTTGGAAGGAGATACCAGGGAAGATATGCAGTTGACCAGAGGGTGAAAAGGAGAGTGAAACAGTGGGCTCCAGGAACATCAGAAACCACAACTGCTCTCTCTCTGCGTCTGCTTTCTGCTTCTCTCTGGGCACTGTCCTCAAATTCCCGAGGAGCGTGGCTGTCAACAGCTCCCAAATTTCATATCTGTTGGCTCCCAACACCAGAGAGATCGACTGACTCTCCTAGTTTCAAGTTGAAAAATCCCAGGGAAGACTCGGATTGGCCTGATTTGGGTCAGGTGCCCTCTCTGGACCAATTAGTGTGGCCCCGGGTAGAGGGTCACAGACATGACCAGCAGGGGGCCTAGGCCTCTTTATCTGAGTCAGGCACCAGAGAAGGCAGAATCACCATGAGTTGGACAGAAACCCTTCCTATATCAGGAAGGGGAAACAGAAGTTCTAGATTCTTCCTTAGGGCTATAAGCCTGGTGTTGGCCAATAAAAATACAAAGAAGAGACATGCGCTCCTGGCCCTCACAACCAAGGTCCAGTCCTTCATTTGCAGGCCTTTGGTGGTGAGTCATCTTGGAGAGGCCAGGCCTGCATGTTGCCCCTAAGTACCTGACTTTATCCCATTGTCCTTATCACTCTATTTATGAGATGAGCCAAAGATGAGCCAGCTTCCTGTATTCCAGTAAATCCTGTCTTAATCCAACAATGTGGGGTGGAAAGCCACTCCTTACCTTCCTGCCTCTTCCTCTCCTCACCTCCCCCATTCCTGTCCAATCTCCTTGGGTCCTTCTGGTATAAGCTGGTGGGATTTGCTGATACCCCATCAATGGGTGTAGTGTGCTGGACAGGAAATGATAAGTTAGTTGGGGAAAGGAAACCCTGAAAGGACTCATTGATGAGCCAGAGAGGGTCTGTGAGCCAGCGGAAACTCTCAGATCAGAGCTTTTCTTCCCCCCCTTCTGTTCTGGTCCCTCCCCCCCCTCCTTAGTTACAGAACCTCACGAGAAAGGAATGCTGCTCCCCCCACTTCTTCCTTGCCTGGAGGGCTTATTTCCTGTGTGTTGGGACACACAGCATGGAGCATCTTGTGCGATGTGCTGGCTCTCGCCATGAGCATGGCCAGGCCTGTCTACATGGGTCATCGCCACCCTGTAGATGCAGTTTGGAAAGGGGTTGGGATGGTTCTTTGGAATTTAACCTTTGAGCCAAGCATAGCATCTTTGTGAACCCATTTTACAGAACTCATGACATGATGACTTTCAGTGGTGTTCACGTTGGAAAGCCTTTCTTACTCATCGGGGTCGCTGATTTTAATATGGCGGCTCCTACAGAGGAAGGACGAATGGCATTGCTAACTCTGTCTCTGGTCCTGGTGCCCTCACAACTGGCCTTTCTGAGCGGCTGTGTGAGAGAGTGGCTTAGAGCTTAGGCACTGGGGACGCACTGTGGCTCTGTCACACTGTGTAACTCTGGAAACAGGTCTTAACTTCTCTAGGTTCTGTTTTCCCATCTGTGGAATGAAGATTTGAATAGTACCCACACAGGAGGGTTGTCGTGAGGTTTACATGAGCAAATCTACGCGAGATCCTTGGTAATGGACAATCTCATGCACACACCAGGGCATCCGGCCCTGAGGGGGCGGCAGGTCGGGGGAGGCAGGAGCGGAAGGACTGGTGCTTGGAGGAGAGATAGTGTCTCTTTGATGTGACCTGTGGCATGAATGAGTCCTCTGGTGAAGCATGGGGGAGCTAGCTCATTAATGGCACTGGAGAAGAGAACCCACAGATAAGCCGGTAACTGCGCATTCTACACTTATCTGAAGCCTTAGGACTTTACAGAGCTGGTCACTCATCTCCCTATTCCCCTCTCTCCCCCGTGCCACCCACACTTCTTACTAACTGGCTACCTGCTCCCTTTGAGGCCCTGGAGCAGGGTCAGCAGATAAAATAGGAGATGTCCAATTAATTTTGAATTTCACATAAATAATGATTATTATTATTTTCTACTATAAGTGTATCCCAAATACTGCATGGGATATACTTATACTAAAAATGTGATCCCTTGTTTATCTGAAATGCACATTTTATGGTGTGTCCTATATTTTCACTTGCTAAATCTGACAGTCTTACCCTGTCTGTGAGTGGTGAGGGTGGACGTATAAAGATGAATAAGCCAGGCTGGCTCAGGGTAAGAGTGGACTGGTCTCCAACATATGTGTGCTTCTGCAGGACAGAAGTCGCACAGCCTGAGGAATGCTACGTTGAGAAGAACAAGGTCCCTTCCTTTTAGAAGTCTAGTGGGGGAAGTAGATTTTTAAGCAATGAAGTCCACTGGAGATGAAATAAGACACTAGACTGAGGGACAGGCAACATGCTGTGGAAGGAGAGGAAGGAAAGAGCATTCCTCTTGGGGGGGGGAACAAAAAGGATGCCTGTATGGTTCTGATTGGGACAGCAGCCTGGAGTGATACAGCCCCACACCCCCACGTCAGTTTGGGGGTCTTTGGTTGGTTTTTTTTGAGAATTATAGTTATCAGGGTAAAGGATGTCCCTAATTTGTTTGTTAATTTGTTTCTTCATTTATGCTTGCATGCCTGCCTCCTTCTATCCATTGGTGATTGTCTGTCCATCCATCCATCCATCCACCCACCTACCCACCTCCAATCTATCCAATCTAAGTGCCTATCCTCTATGTACCAGGCACTATGTCAGTCTCTGGGGATTTATTGATGAGCAAAACCAGATCTGGTTACTGCTTAATTTATGGAACTTATCCCTTAGTGAAATAAGATGGGTTTTAGTTTAAAAAAATTGCATATATATGGGACTCCTGGGTGGCTTAGTTGGTTAGGCATCTGCCTTTGGCTCAGGTCATGATCCCAGGGTCCTGGGATTGAGTCCTGTGTCAGGTCCTTGCTCAGAGGGGAGCCTGCTTCTCCCTCTCCCTTTGCCCCTTACCCCTGCTTGTGCTCTCTCTCTCTCTCTGACAAAAATTATGTATATATAATTTTATACTATTTCAAATGCTACAAAGAAAACTACCATAGAGATACTGCAGAGAAACCTTATGCTCTGGGATCAAAGCAGGCTTCCCTGAAGAAGTAAGTGGTATCTGACAGATCAAGGAGTTATTTTCTCTCCTTTTTGAGATCAGGGATTCTTTTGTGCTTCTAAGGAAAGCAAAAGACTCTCTGCAGACAAAGGCATGAATGTATATATATAATTTTAATAACCTTTTTGGTCATTCATACATCCCTGAAATCCTCCCAAGGGCACCAGGGTAAGACCCTCTACTCTGCCCCAAACCTTCTTCTCTCCCCGTATCTTCAGCCTTCAGCCCCAGTGGTTCTGCGTCCTCCACACACAAGGGGCTGTGCACTGAACACGGCCCCTCGTCCTGCCCACTGGGAAGCACGGCTATGGACCCCTCACGCCTGGGCTGTTCACTGTGCTAGCCACTAGCCACATAGGGCTATTTACATTTACATTTAAATTAATTAGAAAATTTTAAAGATTCAATTCAATCAGGTTAAATTAATTTTTAAGAATGAAATTAATTGGCTTTCTTGGCCATACTTGCTGTGTTGTACGTGCTCAGTAGCCGCAGTGTCTAGTGGCTACGTACTGAGCAAATGTAGAACGTTTGTATCATGACTGTGCTGTTTTAAATTATCTGGGGCACATAGCAGGCTTGATCTGGCATTACGCCCGCCCCGGAGGGCACTGCCACCCTCCCAGACCCTCCCCCCGTTGCCCTCTAAAATCTTTAGGGCCCAGGCAGGAGGAAGGAGACCATGTTCCACCATGATCTGCCCGATCAATAGAGCGATTCAATTCAACGGCTATTGCAAACACTTCTGGAAACCAGGTCAGTTGCTACAGAGGTCTTCGAAGGGCATTTCAGATGTTAAGTTGGGAACAGGGAGAAGAGAGGTTCTTGGTCTCCAAGTGGAAATTGATTTCTTCTAAAAATAATCCACCACTCAACCTATCTGACCAGGAAAGGGACGTGTCCCGGAGGGAGCTGTCGGGGACAAGGCCTGATGGTGAGGCCCGCTTGGCCGTAAGGGGCTTGGATTACTTGGAGGTGCAGTTAAGGGGAGAAGGAGGACGGTAAAGGGCCGCAGAGGCTCTTCAGTTGCCTTCGCTGGCACTGGACCACCTTTTCAGCCTCTGTCCATGTCCTTGCACAACTCCTTCACTGTTAAGTAGCCCCACCACGGGGGCAGGACCGGAAGGCTCTCTGAAGGCCCAGCTCCACCGAAGGTTGTTTCACAATCTGACCTACAAGACGGCGGGCGGCCGTAATTGCTCTGCAAACAGAGGCTCGGGGCGGCTGTGGCCCTTTGGT